TCATTGAGTGTATTTGGGGCAGTTTCCCAGACAATTATGTTGCAGATCCAATCAGGGATCGGGATATTTTGGATCTAGTAATGTGTAATGGGGCAGTTTTAATAAATAATCTCAGAGTAAAAGATCCCTGAGGAAATAGTGATCATAACATGGCAGAATCTGTTTGAGAGGGAGTATCTTGGGTCAGAAACAATTGTGCTAAGCTAAAACAAGGGCCATTACAAAGAAATGAGGACAGACCTGGTTGGAGAGGTCTGGCAAAGGAGTTTAGCAGCAAAGATGGCTGAGGAACAATCACAGACATTTAAGAAAATAGTTCATGGCTTATAACAAATATACATTCGAGAGGAAGAATGACTCAAGGAGGGGATAAATCAATCATGGATAACCAGGGAAACTAGGTACAGCAGCAAATTGAAAGAATCAACATACAATGCGGCAAAGGAAAGTGATAAGCCACAGGATTGGGAAAGTTTCAAAAATCAACAAAAGACAACCAAAAATAATAAGAAAGAGGGAGAAGATAAATTTTGAAGGTGAACGTACAAGAGATATCAAGACAGATAGCAAGAACTTCTTGTTATATATATAAAGGAAGAGAGAAGCTAAAATAAGCACCGGCCTCTTAGGGAATGAGGTGAGGGAAATATCACAGGGTAACCAGGAAATGGCAGAGGAGTTGAATGAATATTTTGCATCAGTCATCACAGTAGAAGACACTAATAGCATTCCAAAATGACTCAATAATCAAGGGACAAAAGGAGGACAAGATATACATACAATAATTACCACTGGAGAGAAAATGCTAGACATAATAATGGTACTAAAGATTGATAAGTCCCAAGGATGCATCCCTGGATATTAATGAAGTAGTTTCAGAATAATCAAAGTAATCAATCAGGATTCCTTGGATTCTGGAAAAGTCCAAGAGAATTGGAAAACTGCCAACAACAGGTAGTTATAGGCCAATTAGCTTCATATCTGTTATTGGGTAAATATTACAATCTGTTCTAAAGCATGTAATAGCAGACCATTTAGAAATCCATAACATGATCAAGCATGGCTTTATGAAGGAGAAATCATGCCTGACAAATGTATTAGAACACTTTGAGGAGGTAACAAGCAGGTTGGATAACATGGACGTAGTGAATGCAATATATTTGGATTTTCAGAAGGCATTTGATAAGGTGCCATACATTAGGCTACTTCATAAGATAAGGTATTGGACATAGTAGATAAGCATATGTACAGGATTAGCTAACTGATAGAAAAAAGAAAGTTGGAATAAAAAGGGCATTTTCGGGATGGCAGTGGTGTACCACACGGTTAATGCTTGGACCACAATTATTTACATTATATTTTAATAATGTGGATAAGGAAAGTGAATGAATTATAGCTAAGGTTGCAGATGACACACAAATTGGTGGGAAGGCAAGTGGTGGGGGTGACACAAAGAGTCTGCAGAGGAATATAGACAAGTGGGAAATCAAGTGGGCAAGAACTCAGTAGATGAAATATAATGTGGGAATATACACTTTTGTAGGAAGAATAGAGGAGACAAATATTATTTAAATGGATAAAGACTGTGAAAGGTACAGAAGGGTGATTTGAGAATTCTCACAGCATCATCGACTTAGGTTCAATTCCAGCCTTGGGTGGCTGTCCGTGTGGAGTTTGTACATTTTCCCTGTGTCTGCGTCGGTTTCTGCTGGGTGCTCTGGTTTCCTCCCACAGTCCAAAGATATGCAGATTAGATGGATTGACCATGTTCAATTTCCCTGTAGTGTCCATGGATGTGCAGGCTAGGTGGATTAGCCATGGTTAATGCATGGTTATGGCGAAAGGGTGGGATGCTCTTTGGAGATTCTGTGCAGAGTCAAAGGGCTGAATGGCCTTTTACTGCACTGTAGGGAATTCTATGATTCTATGAGCATAGGTCAAGAGGGAATAATCTCAGAATAAGGGTCGCACATTTAAGACAGAAATGAGGAAGAATTTCTTCTCTTAGAACTAGTGAACTTATGGAATTCTTTACCGCAGAGGGCTTTCAAGGCTAGGTTAAGTTTATTCAAGGCTGAGATAGGTATATTTTTAGTGAGGAAAGAAACCAAGGGTTATAGGAAAAAAACAAGAAAGTGGAGTTAAGAATTATCAGATCAGCCATGATCTTACTGAATGGTGGAGCAGACCGGATGGGCTGAATGGCCTGCTTCTGCTCCTACATTTTACAATCATATGGAGGAGTTTCATCCTTGCATTCATGCAATAGGTATGAGGTTCTTGGAGCCTGTATAACTGAGAGTAGGGAGGATAAGCAGGAGGCTGGTCAAGTTGAGGAGTCAAAAAGAAATGCTGTTGTGGTAGGGCACTTAAGTTAGAGGGATAGATATTAATCTCTGCACTGAAAGCATGAGTCTGAAGGATCTGGATTACTGCCTAGTTGTGGGGGTAATAAGATCAGGGAATTGAAGTCATGGCTCAAAAATTGGTGTGGGAAAATTTGTTTTCAATGGTGACCATACTGGGTAAAAAGGGAGCTCTCACTTTGGCAATAAGCTTCATTTGAATCACCCAAGGGCTAGTGTCTCAGTGAACCAAATAACTAAGGCTGTACAGCCATATATCACTTCAATATTTAAACGAAATGTTGTGAGAGGTTTTTTTTTAATTTACTTATAGAATGTGGGTGACAATGGCTAGCCAGCATTTATTGCCCATTCCTAGTTCCTCATGAGAAGGTCTTAGAGTGCTGCCTTATTGAACCTCTGTAACACATTTAATGTAGATACACACATTGCCATTAGGGAGGCAGTTCTCGGATTTTAACCCAAAGACACTGAAGGAATGATGAAATATTTCCAAGTCAGGATGGTAAGTGACTTGGAAGAGAACTTGAAATTGATGGAGTCCCCATGTAAAGAAATTTCCTGACATGAGCAGGCTGCCTTGATACTGAAAATCCAAGCCTAGATCTTTTAGTTGCACACATAAAAGCCTAGCACCACCTTCAGGTATAGGTAAAGAATGCTTCTCATTTGTTCTTACTCAATGTAGCAGATCAACTGTCTAGCAGCAATATCATAAGACATCACAGAATCTCAGCACAGAGGCTATCTGTATCTTTGCTGGCTCTCTGATTGAGTTAACACTTACTTTTAGTCCCTTCCTCTTTCTTTACGTTTTTCTCCCCTACAAGTATTTATCCAATTTCCTTTTGAAAGTTACAATTGAATCTGTTCCTGCTGTCTTTTCAGCCAATCTATTCCAGATGTTTACAAATTACTGTTTAAAAATAATCCTCAATTCACCTCTGGCTCTTCTGCCAATTACTGTAAATTTGTATCCTTTGTATCCACCTGCTTATGAAACATGTTTGTCCGAATTTACTCTCTCAAAGCTATTCAGAATTTCTGTTCTAAGGGAATCAATCCATTCAGCAAGGTGCCATACAAAAGGTTGGAAGTTGGATAAGGCCTTATGAAGTTGGGGTGACATATTAGCGTCCATAAATGGTTGATTAATGGACAGGAAGCAAACAGCAGGTATAAATGGAGTCTTTTCAAGCTGGTAGGCTGTGACTAGTGAAATGATGCAAAGATCAGTGCTGGGCCTTCGCTACTTGCTTTCTACATTAATGATTGGACAAAGAGAAGAACACTGAAGAAGTACTGAATGAGGCTGGAAGAACATAATACTGCCAGACCTGCCTGAATATTTCTAGCATTTTCTGTTTTATTTTAGATTTCCAAAATCTATGATACATTCAATGACATGTTTGCATTTGAAATAGTTCGGAGAAGACATCTAGGCTAATTCGTAAAATGAAAGGTTGTTTTATGAAGAAACATTGAGTCTAGACTTATTGGAGTTTAGAAGGATGATAGATGGTCAGATTGAAAACTATGAAATTCTGAACAGTTTTTATAATGCTGAGAGGATTTTACCCTTCAAAAGGGAATCTAAAAGGGAGCACAGTTTCAAAATAAGGGGTGTCTCATCTAGGACAGATATAAGAATGAATTGCTTCCGTCAAATTTTCTACTGTAGCAAGCAGTGGAGGCTGAGTTATTGAATATACACAAGGCTGAGTAACAAATTTTTTATTGACAAAGAAGTCAAGGATGATGCAGGCAGGCAGAAAAATGGCATCATGTTCACATCAGATCTTATTGACTGGTGGGGCAGGCATGAGGGGCTGAACGGCTTACTCCTGCTTCTATTTCTTGTATCCTTGAGCTGTTCTTAACCTGCATTTCTGTCTTTAGTTCTAGAAACAGAGCAGTTTCCACTGAATGCTGGGCCCTATTTCTTGACCTCTTGCCTTCACTTTTTGATCTGTCTTAAACGTTATTGGAACTAACTGCGATCTATGAATCTCCTATTGTAGGACCATGTCAATGAAGTGGTTATGCGCTTAGTCTGAAAGCAAAGGTTTTAAAGGCATAGATATTTTTTCTCTGGTGAAAAATGTGCTTGAATGAAAATATTTATTCGGTCTGGAGTGGTGTTTACAATCTGGGAATAGAACTTGACTGTTGAGACTGGAGATATAAAACTGGGATATTTCTAAATAAACATTGTACTCAGGAACATTCCACTTCTCCCAAAACTGACAGGACTGTCCCTTGTTAAACAGCATTTAGTTAGACAAAAATCTTGAGCCGAAATTTCTGAATTCTTCCAGTGCTTCAAAGGTACAAAAGATTGTGTATGTGGTGTATATTGTGCAAACATTGCAAAGACTGAATTTAAGGTATCAAAACTCAAGTAACTGGCAACACCTAAAAGCTGTTAAAGCAAAACATCCGGATACCTCATAAAACTGGCCTACATTTGAATTTCATTGACTGTTTTTTTGAAATAACATAAATATTTTGATACCATTAGTTGCCGCCTGGTGTGATTTGTCTAGAAGCAGGTCAGGTGGGCAAACCTTGAACTATTTAATGCCTGGCTGAACTGCCATCAGTAGTTGTTCACGTTGGTTTCTGCCATGCTGTTGTCCTTGGATTTGGTCTTGTTCCTATCTGCTGCAATGGTTACCAATGCAGCTCCTCTGACCTGCTACTCAAGAATGCTGGGCATGAGAAAAGAAATCAACAGCAGCATTGAGAACCTGCAAGCAAAACAATTCACAGTGAGCACTCCATCTCATATATGTTATTGGGGATGGAATAGGGGAACTTATAGCTGTCAACTAACCAGATTTTATATTCTTTTCTCCAATACCTTCAAGAAACGTTGTGTCGCTAAGCTGCCTGACCTGCACATAGATATCCATGTAAGTCATTCTTTTTTTATTTCCCACTTATCAGTAAGATGCATTAGTGTAGAAGGTTATAGATTGAAGTGACACAATGCTCTATTGATGATGAATTTGCTACATGCTCACAGGAAATTGTTGCAATGAAGTTATAAAATAAAGAGGTTAGAGGCTTTATTTATATTTTGGATTCAGGACTCTCAAATTAACGCTGTTCACTAATAATGTATGAAGCTATTTCAACCTTTTATTATTCACTTGGTCTATAAAATTAAGTTAATTGCATAATGGAATCATTTTAAAAACAACTTCTGTCAGATGGGATTGTTACCGTTACTGATATTTCATTACCTCGTTTTGTCGTACTGTTCATAGATTGTAATCATTGAAGGGGTTTTGCTCTTTTGAAACTGGACAGAATATTGTTTCCTCGAAAAAAAAACCTTCATACATAATCTTTACTGTTTTGCAATCTCTGCCAACCAACTAAAAGTGTAATTTGCAACAGTACATACTAATGCCAATCACATTCAGACTAATATAGCTTTTTAACAAACTACCAATACCTATTCAGTGATTTTTTGGGAGCCAAGTTTGTATTATGCCACAATAGTGTAGAAATATTAAGCTGTATAGGCTAAACTTCTTCCATCATTTGTTTTGCTGAAATAATAAAAGACCCCCAAAATAAATAACTCCAGAAAGTGGATAAAAATAATTAATTACGGTGCATGTATAATGTCAAGGATTATCTTAGGTGAGACTCTGCTCTTGTGTAAGGAGGCAATCTTATCAAAACATAGAAGTTCCTTAAAGAACTTGACAGGATGTGTGCTGAAGAGATTTTTCCTCTTGTGGGAGGGACCAGAATCATAGGACACAGTTTAAAAATAAGTGGTCTTCCATTCAGGACAGAAATGAGGAGAATTTTTTCTCGGTCAAAGGACTGAGTATTTGGAACTCTCTTCCCCAGAGTGCAGCAGAAGCGGAGTGATATTTTTAAGACAGAGGTAGAACAATACTAACAAGAAAACCAAAGATTATCAGGCAATGGGTGGGAATGTGGTGTTGAGGCCTTAATCTGGTCAACCATGATCTTATGGAATGGTGGAACAGGCTGAATGGAAAAAATGGCCTACGCCTGCTCCTAATTAATGTTCGCATGTATTCTTCAAAAAAAGAGACTTTGGTCTATGTTATGAAGCAGTTCCATTTTTAAAATGAATGCTTATTTTGAATAATACTATGGAAATTATGGAAATTATATATTTTCCATATTGACATTGGTAGGTAAAACATGCTGCTAAAATTACAGACATCATTTTAAATGCATCAGGAGAGTTTGTCACTCTAAGGATACAAAGCTGATAGTTTGCTAACTGCAGTTTGTAGGAATCCTGTTGGTTAAGTCATGTGAGGGGCATTTTTAAATACAATAATTAAGTGTTGGCTGCTGCTATCAACTGTAAATGTATGGGTTCACAGAATTTCTGCGTGATGTCAAAACTACGGACTTACCTACAGGCTATGGAGAAGGTGACTGATCGACGCTGCCAGAATGTGCTGCAGCCAACAGTCCAGTTAATCAGACACTTGTACCTCATCATGGTGGTGCCATGTAAGGCGGTATGTAAAGAGTTAAGATTCTCATTAGATTTTCTTTCTCAATGTGCTAAATTCAAATCTCACGCAAGTAATCTTTGTGATATGCTTTGCGTGCAATGCAATCATTATCCTACGACACCCAACGTGAATTTTTGGAAACTATTATATTTTATCAGTCAAACCTTTGGTTTCCATATAATAACAAGATCCAATGCTCATTGGAACCAGAGCTGCTCGTCGCTCAGCTACTTGGGTTTGGTAGACTTTGGTAGGGATTTGAAACTTAGTATTCACATACCAAATTGACGATTATGGCAAGTGATTTTTAAAATCTCTCAAGGGTAATTAGAAATAGGCAGCAACCTCCACATTCTGTGACAGAATTAAAAAAAAACAAATTGGCTATTGTATAGTTCATTCAGAAGCTGGTGAGGTGAGATTATCTGCCCTTGATATCATTTTGACCAAGCATACCATCAAAGACCCTTAGCAAAACTACAGTCAATGGGAATCAAAGGATGGGGGTGGAAATTCTCTGCTGGTTGGAGTCATATCTTGGCAGAAAGAAAGATGGTTGTGGTTGTTGAAAGTCAGTCATCTGAGCTCTAGGACATCATTGCAGAGGTTCATCGGGGCAGTGTCCTAGGTCCAACCATCTTCAGCTACTTCAACAATGCCTGTCCTTCCATCATAAGGTCAGAAGTTGGGATGTTTGCTCATAACTGCACCATGCTTAGTATCATTCTGATTCCTCAGATACTGGAATGTTCAACTGCAGCAATATCCTGACTTAGCCTGACAAGTGGCAACTAACATTAATGCCACATAAGTGCCAAGCAATGATCATCCCCAAGAGGAGAGAATCTAATCATCACTCTTTGTCATTCAATGGCATTACCATCACTGATTCACCTACTATCAACACTCTAGGGCTTACCATTAACAAAAAACTGAACCGGACCTGTCATACAAATACTGTGGCTACAAAGCGGGTCAGAGAGTAAGGATCTTGCATTGAGTAATTTCCTGACTCACAAAGCTACAAGTCAGGGAGTGTAATGAAATATTCCCCATTTTCTTGGATGATTGTATATCCAACAACACTCAAAAAGCTTGGCACTATTCAGGACAAAGCAGCCCACTTGATTGGCACCACATTCATAAATATTCACTTCCTCCACCAGTGACACACAGTAGCAGCAGCGTGTATCATGTACAAGGTGCACTTCAGAAATTCATCAAGACTTTTTAGACAACCTCAACCCAGGACCACCATCACCTAGAAGGACAAGGCCAGCAGATAGATGGGAACACCATCACTTACAAATTCCTCTCCAAGTCACCCACCATTGTGATTTAGCAATATATTGTTGCTCCTTTATTGTCACTGCAACAGTGGAGTGGCAATTCTCTGACCTCACTTTCTTCAAGGGAGGCTGCTTACTGGGATCACTACCATACTAATTTATCCTCAAAGCACTTCTCCTATTGCTAGTTGGGTTCTAAGGTATCCAAAGTGACTTCAATCCTTGTCAACAGTAAAAGATAAGCCTTATTCCAATACAACTAGAATGAATGTGGAACTGCAACATATTTAATTAATCCTTGCAGAACGGAGCAGTATTATATTGATTCTGATCTCATCAAATTAACGTATTACATCTATATTTAGGCCTGCAATATTATTTGACATGGAACATTTTAAATGTTTTTCAGGAGCTTGTGTTCTTGACGGACGACTGCAGTGTATTACGGAGAAAAGCAAGCACTACAACTTGAACGTGCCAAATAACAAGATGTCATTTTTAAAAATGTATTTATGTGCTTTGCTATATAAAGTTGACTTTTCACAATGCAAGCATCTTTAAGGTTACATTACTTGCAGAAATGGCAAGAGATGTTCTATATTAGCTGAGTAAAAGCATCTTAATCTGATACTGCTTTGCATAGTCAGGCTTATCTGAGGTGAGATCTTCAAATCTACTTTTGCCTTCCCCTGCTGGCTGATGTTGAAATACTGCACCAGAAGTTCCAGTTTTGATCTTCAGGCTGTGCTAGTTTAATTGATTGTGGCTGTGACAGAGGCTTCAGGCCATCTTCAAATGAGTCTTAGTGTCCTGCAATGGATAGTAGGTAGAAATCAGCCAGCGTCCTACTCCTGCTGGGAAGCCAGTTGGTGTGAACACAAAGAAAGGAGAAAGAACATGGTCAAACTCAGTTTCGTTGCCACACTTGTCAAATAAGCTGCCAACAAGGACAATTTAGGCAAGTACCTGCGGACAGCTGGTACCCACTGAAAAAAAACCCCTGGCTTCAGAAAGGAAGGGAAAAAAAAACAAAAAACAATCTGGTTGAGACGTTACATTGGCAATGTTAGAGAAACTCTCAACGTTGGCAGCCATAGTTCCAGCAAAACTTTGGGAGTCTGCACACATGCAAAATAATATGGAAATTCCAATGTTGGTTTCATGATTTAAAGCCCTCCAGAGGGTTCAGTGTTAAAGTCCCTTCTTTCTGCTCTTCCCATCACCACTCTACGGTATAATACTAAGCAACCAGTGAATTGATGAGAACTTCACTGTTTAAAAAACTCTTAAATACAACTTGTTGAATGTGTTACAATGGAGGTTTTAACAGAGCACTAACTTCATAATTATGATTAAACACATTCACTGTGTCTGAAAAGACAATTCTTTGTTTGCAAAATGTTAAATTTCTCCATTATTTTTTAAAAAACTTAGTTTTTAAAAATAGTTTATACTGATACTTCAGCTTCAATCTAAATCTGATTGTAATCATTTACTCAGCTTCCTGAAAATTTAAATTAAATTTGAAGGTTAAAGCACTTTTAACATCCTGGTTTGCTGTCAGTGAGTACACTTGAATGTGATTGGTTGCTTACCTATTTTGCTGACTGCCATTGCATGCTTGGAGATACCTTTAAGTGGCATGAGATTTAAGCTGCCATTGGGAAAGGGACTGTCTTTGCCAGAGATCTTTGTGAGTGACTTTCTTCAAGTCGGTGGTTGGTGCCAGTGCTCCCCATTCCTTCCTCCTGTCAAGTGTTCAATACAATGCTGCAACAGTCATTCCTAGCATAATGCACCCACAGTTTCACAACCACACTACATTGCTAATGATGGGATGATACAATCAAAGCTGCTCCTTTTCCAAGGTGACTAGTCATAAATCCGCTTTATCAGGAGAGAGTCCTGTTGTGTCTCACATCTTGCTGATATTTGCCTTCAGAACCACTGGTGTCTTGATAGGAGGCCACTCAACTTTTCCATCATTCCTGACTTCATGTGCTTCAAGTAGTGACATCTCCTAGTTACACGAGGCAAGGCCAAGGATACCCTCATTTAGTTTAGTTTGCCAGCTAATGATAAAGAATTACCAGGCTGCCTGCTGGTGTATATTACCAGCAACTTGGAGGCATAAGTGAGAGGTCAAGACACTGGGATACCACAGAAATGAGCCTTACCCATATCTAAAACCAAAGTGTGAGGCTGGTAAAACATCAGAGATACTAATCTAATCACAGAAACGCCTATATTGTATTGACTTCTGAAATGACCATGTCTTTTTAGTTTTTTGTTTTAAAAAATAGACTGAAATGAGAAAGAATGATTTAAAAACAGCTTTTTGTAAGAGTGGTGCATGTTTTGAAAAGCAAGTGACCTGATACCTATGCCAAGAATCATAAAAGGCTGTTGGAGATAGAAAGAACTGCAGATGCTGGAGTCAGAGTCAGTACAGTGTGGAGCTGGAGGAACACAGCCGGTCAGGCAGCATCAAAGAAGCAGGAAAGTCGATGTCTTGGGTTTACACTCTTCATCAGTCCTGATGAAAGGTGTAAACCCGAAATGTCGACTTTCCTGCTCCTCTGATGCTGCCTGACCTGCTTGTATTCCTCTAGCTTCACACTGTATAGAAGGCTGTTTGTTGGACGCAGCAGTAATTAAAGTTTGAGCTGCAACAGAAGAGGAGTCAAGGGGTTCTGCATTCAGATGCAACTGAGTGGCCGCAAGAAGTTGACTGGTCTATGGGCTAGTGACCAACTATTGATGACAGAGACCTTTTGCTTACTGAGAACTATGTGACTGGTTCTTGGGTGGTTGCACAGGTTGGAGCTGGAAACAAATTACAAAGATAGAAAGAGGGAGACAACGAAGTATGCAGACTTTCTCCCAGAGCAGAAGCAGCCTTTTCTCTGCAGCCAAAAACTCAGTCTAAACCTGAAGGAAACCAATTACATTTCCTGTAGTAGTTGCTGTAAGCTGTGGCTTTTGAATTCAGAGACATTTTTCCTTTGAATTAGGTATTTGTTACTTCTTACAAACTAGCGGAAGCATCTAAAGAAAGACATCTGAACAACAAATGGTCTGGCCAGCTGAAGAAGAATCATCCCAACATCAGAATCAAGAAGCAATGACCAATGAACCAATTTTCTAGTTTATCCACCTCCACCAATAATCAATATCCCTCCATGTTTATCTATGTGTGTCTGTGTGTAAGAGTTACTTTATAAGGGATTGAGAGTTTTAGTTTTTAATTGGTACCACTTGTCAATAGCTTCTATCTGTTTGCTGTAGCTATCATCCAATCACTTATATTAAATAATAATTCTTGGTTAGTATAGAAACTTGGTCTGTGCATCTTATCAACTTTGGTTTGAAAGTCAGGTAAGTTGGGCTACTGCATGTACTTTAAAAAGTGCTTTTAACATCTGGTACAACTCCAGGAATAGTAGGGCTTGATTTATGGTGTGCTACTCCCGGTGGATCGTAATGATACAAAATCTAGGGCATTATTTTTAAATGACTGGAATGCTAATAGATCAGGAAGGGTTTAAAAATTATTCTTTCACAGGATGTGGGTGTCATCCCGTTTTATCCTGTTAATTTCTTTTAGCAGATTGTATCGATTGCTGACTTTAAGTAACCTAGGTCCTGTGCATTGAAACTAGTCACGGGATGGAGAGCAGCTTGCTTTCCACTGTTCTATTGCAATCAGAAAAGTAGACAGCACCAGGAGCAGCAGATTACAAGAATTCTAATCTGGCAATAAACAATTTCTACTCAACTTTACATCTTGCATTCAAAAAAAACTGAAAAGCTAACTACATAAAGAAAATTCTCCCTCAGGTAACATTTGAGTTCAATTATTTGAACACATTTCTCTCTTGCTATGGTGCAGCTCCCTTCTGCAGTCAGACAGAGCTTCTCAAACCATATGACTATACATTTTTCAGAAAGAAAGTAATAATTTTGTGTTCCGGATGTTGCCCATCCGAATGGTGTAAACAGTGAAAAGATTAAGTGGTAATAAAATTACAACTTCAGCACATCAATCTATAATTTGCTGAAGTTGCCAGGCACAGTGAGTGCAAAGACTAGTTATGAATGTATGAACATCAGAACAAATAGGTTAAGCCACATTTCCAATAATGATGGATCGTTTGGAGTACTGGAACTGCACGTTTCATGGTTGGCATTTTACATTGATTGTTTTTATGACTTTTCCCACAAATTTGTGTTCAATAAGATGAAAGGCATACATTCTGGGTAAAAGACCACTTGCTTGAAAAGCTACAGGTGGCATGGTGGCTCAGTGGTTAGCCGTGCTGCCTCACAGCACCAGATTCCTTGGGTGACTGTCTGTGTGGAGTTTGCACATTCTCACAATGTTTGTGTGGGTTTCCTCCGGTTTCCTCCCACAGTCCAAAGATGTGCAGGCTAGGTGGATTGGCCATGCTAAATTACCTGTAGTGTTCAGGGATGTGTAGATTAGGTGGGTTATAGGGGGATGGGTCTGGGTGGGATGCTCTGAGGGTTGTTGTGGGCTTGTTAGGCTTAAGGGCCTGTTTCCACACTGTAGGGATTCTATGAAACTAAGCACAATCAGATAAATTATGGCAGGAAGGGCCACTACTTTATGCTCTGTAGAAATATAGCTTGTCCTATATGAAGTTTAACCTTCAGTTTCCATTAATTTGCAGATATCTGTATCTATAGATAAAAATATCAATAGCCTCAAACTGTGACTTAAGGGTTATATTGTTCTTTACTTATCATTAAAAAAAAACTCAATCCAAAACCCCAAGGTCATAATTTCCAAACCGAGCAAGCACAAATTGGAAATATCAAAGTACAAATAATATAATAACTTGGACTTAAGGGCAGATTGTCGGGGCACGGTAACCATATGTGGCCTGTGAAGATGACACTGAAGTAACTCCACAGATGTTCCTCGGAGGGTCAGTATCACATCACCAAGGAGTTTGCACATTCTCTCTGCGTGGACTTTCGTCGGGTGCTCCGGTTTCCTCCCACAGTCCAAAGATGTGCATGTTAGGTGGGTTGGCCCTGCTAAACTGCCCATTGTGTCCAAGGATGTGTAGGTTAGGTGGATCAGCTATGAGAAATGCAGGGTTACAGGGATAGGGTGGGGGGCTGGTGAGTTTGGGTGGGATGTTCCTCGGAGGGTCAGTGTGGACTTGTTGGGCCGAATGGCTTGTTTCCACACTGTAGGGATTCTAAAAAAAAGTCATCCTTTATTTACACATGGAGAGTCCTCCAACTCTGCCTCTGATACGGGCTTAACCCTTGTGCTCGGAGCATCTTAGAAGAAATTCATTCTGTTCTTCAAAGGCGTCGAGGTCCATTCTGAGGTACGTTCAATGCTTGACGGAGAGGGAAAACCCATAGGTTCTGGACCAGTTGGAAAGGTTGCTGAAGCTCCAGGCATGTTTTGCTCCTGCACCATTTGAGCGTTTGCAACTTTCATATAGTCCATGTGCTTGTTCAGGCCATTGCACCTATCCAAACATTAAACATCATTGCACTTGACCTCGTGTCGACTATGCCTCTTACCCATGCAGGGCCATTCCCATGGTTCCTACAACAATCTTTGATCCCTGAAGTAAACTGTCTCTCTCACTTAGTACAGTTTTGCATCCTGTATTGGTGTTCCTGATATTGTTTCACCCTTCCCCCAGATCTGGGGAGATCAGATTGAACCCGGTGCAGAGTCTTATCCCCATCTGCAATTATGCTGGAGCTATCCCAATAGTTGCAATGACAGGTGGTTCTA